ACAAAACATACATTCTTCTCAGTACCACATCACACCTACTCTAAAAGTGACTACATAATTGGAAGTAAATCACTCCTCAGTAATTACATAGCATTTCACAGGTTTAAATGAAATATTGGTTGGCTGCTTGTTTGTTATTTTCCTCCCTTATTCCTTCCTGTCTCCATTGTTAAGCACAATTATTGGCATAAAAGAGGTTTTTAATACCAAAAAAAAAGATTGCAATTATTTAAATATGTTCTATGAGTGCAAAAGAATTAATTTAGAGATCCACATCAGAAAGGAAACTGGGAAAAAACCCATATATTTGAAAATTAGATAAAACACTTTGGTGAATCGAAGGGAAAAATTGTCTCAATAAAACAAGTCTCAATAAAATTGGAAAGATTGTAATTATTTAAATATGTTATATTAGCACAATATAATTAATTTAGAGATCCACATCAGAAAGTAACCTGGGAAAAGCCCAAATATCTGACAATTAATAAAACACTTCTATGGATCAAAGGGAGAAATCAAAAGAGCAATTAAAAATATTTTTATTTTAGAGACAACACCAGGAGTTGATTGAAGCTAGAAGACTGACAAGGCAGGACTAGAAAAGGGAACCACTGAGAGGAGGGGTCAGAGGACCGGACCACTGATTGCTAATCTAAGGCTACATGTCCAGGAAAGAGGAGGGGCGTGGAAGAGGCTCCTTGGAAGATTTTTTCTAATTTGTCCTATCTCTATTTGTTTAATGGAGTAAATCCCTATGACAAACATAGGAGATACAGAAAGTTTTTGAGAATTTTATACAAGCAAAAATGCTGCCATCTTGTACTGAAAAGGACAAAGAGGGTATTAAATGAAAAAAACAGCTGACAGAGCCCCCAAATTCTACATGCAAGAAACAGGCTAACCAAAGTACCAACCTGCAAACGTGCTGCACTTCATGAAAAAGAAAGGATGACTCAGAGCGTGGAAGCATGAACCCAGACTGCAGAACTGCTTGCCCACTGGGTGAAATCACTGGTTGCAGAGAATTGTTTCCAGGTCTTGAAAACAAATCAAGTTTGCCTTCATTAATTTTGAAATCCTTGAGACAAGTGACTCCTTTTTAACTTCATTTTTCTCTTTTTGGACAGGAATGTATATGACGATTATCCCATACCATCATAATATTTTGGCAGCCAGTATTTTTACAGGTCCACAGATTGAAGAGGAATTGTGTCCTAGGATGGATTATACCCAGAGCCTCATCTATACTTGATGTAGATTGTTAAAGTGATGAGATTTGGGACTTTTGGGCTGATAAGATTTAGATGTTCTTTAACTCAGAGTTAATAGTGCAATGGGATAAGACATTTGAAGACTTTGGGATGGGGTGAATGTATTTTACATGTAAGATAAACATTTACCTTTCAGGGGGTCAGATGGCATGTTGTGGTAGGCAGAATAATGGTTCCCCCCAAAATCCATATTTTAATTTCCAAAACCTGTGAATATGTTACATCACACGTCAAAGCGAAATTGACGTTGCAGATATAATTAAGGTTGCTACTCAGGTGAGAATAAAATCAAGGGATTTTGCCGGATTATCCAGGAAGGCCCAATATAATCAAAAGCATCCTTAAAAATGGAAGAGGAAGACAAAAGAGAGAGGAATCAGAATGATGCCATATAAGATGGATTGGGCCTGTCTTTGCTGGCTTTGAAAGATGGAGGATGAAGAACATGGACCAGGAAATGCAGGCAGCCTCTGGAAGGCATGAAAGGCAAGGAAATAGATTCTCCCATAGAGCCTTGAGAAAGGAATCCAGCTTTGCTAACATCTTAATTTTCATCCATTGAAACCTATGTTGGACTTCTAATATACAGAACCGTAAAATAATAGATTTGTGCTGTTTCAAGCCACACGTTTGTAGTTAGTTGTTACAGCAGCTCTATAAAATTTACATACCATAAGAATAGGATAATAGAGTAGTAAAACACATAATTATCCCAATAGATGCAGAGAAATCCAATGCCCATTCATGATTAAAACTTAAAAATACTAACAATAGAAAGGAAAGGTGGTTTCTCCACCTAATAAGAGGTGTTTATGAAATACCTACAACTAATAACATTCTTAATTGTGAAATAGTGAATGCTTTCCTCCCTAAAGTCAAGAAGAAGGCAAGAATGTCTACTCTCACCATTTCTATTCAACATTGTATTTCGGGTTCTAGCCAGCACTATAAGGCAAAAAGAAAATGTAAATAATAAATGAAGGGAATTAAAGGAATCCAGATAAAAAGCAAAAAGTAAAATTGTCTTTGTGCATAGATGACATAATTATGTAGAAAATCCTTAGGAATTCACAATAAAAGTATAAGAGCCATCCATGTAAGTTTATCAAGTTTGTAGGATATAAGAACATTATACAAAATAAATTTGGTTTCTATATACTTACAGTGAAAAATCTGAAAGGGAAATTAAAAAACAATTTCATTTAAAATAGCAATGGAGCATGGAGTCTCATGCCTGTAACCCCAGAGCTTTGGGAAGCTGAGGCAAGAGGATCACTTGAGACCAGGACTTCAAGACCCAGATCAGCCTCGGAAATGTAGCAAGACTCTGTCTCTACAAAACATAAAAAATTAGCTGGGCATGGTGGTGTACACCTGTAGTCCTAGCTATTTGGGAGGCTAAGGTGGGAGGATCACTTGAGCCCAGGAGGTTGAAGTTCCAGTAGCTATGACAGCACCATTGTACTCCAGTCTGGGTGACCAAGCAAGACTTCCTCAAGAAAAAAAAAGCATCAAAATTTAGGAATAATTTTTTAAGACAGAGTCTTGCTCTATTGCCCAGGCTGGAGTGCAGTGTCATGATGTCAGCTCACTCCAATCTCTGCCTCCTGGGTTCCAGCAATTCTTCTATCTCAGTCTCCAGAGAAGCTGGGATTACAGGCATGCACCACCATGCCTGGCTAATTCTTGTATTTTCAGTAGAAACAGGGTTTGCCATGTTGGCCAGGCTGGTCTCGAACTCCTGACCTCAAGTGATCTACCCATCTTGGCCTCCCAAAGTGCTGGGATTACAGGCATGAGGCACCATGCCTGGCCAATTTAGGAATAAATTTAACAAATAAAGTACTTTATTTCTACAGTTACAACTATAGGATTGTACAGAAGGAATTGAAATAAGATACACATAAATGGATAGACATTCTATGTTCATGGTTTGGAAGACTCAGAATTGCCAGATGGCAATTCTCCATAAATGGATCTATGGATCAGTGTCTATGTTCAGTGCAATCCCAGCAGACCTTTCCTAAAAATTGACAAGTTGATCTGTACATTTTTTTGGAAATGCAAAAAATGTAGAATAGGAAAAATAATTTTGAAAAAGAAGAACAAAATTTGCAGGACTTACATTACCTGATTTCAAAATTTACTATAAAGATAGAGTAATCAAGACAGTATAGTGCAGTATTCATCTATGGGTAGACATAGATTAAGGGAACAGAGTGGATAATTCCAAAATAAATCCTTAAAAATGTGGACAATTGATATTTTTTTGGCAAGGTACCAAAAGAATTCACTAGGGAAAGGATAATCTTTTCAACAAATAGTGCTGAAATAACTGACTAACCATATAGAAAGCAAATGAACGTTGAACCTACCTTACCCCACACTGTATGCAAAATGTAATAAACACTAGTACCATAAAATTTAGAGCATGCAAAAATTCATAAATACTAATATAATGAAGAGAATCTTCCTGAATTTTTTTCAGTTAAATATTGTTAGGTAGATCTGATATGGTTTGGCTCTGTATCCCCACCCAAATCTCATCTTAAATTGTACTTCCGTAATTCCCAAGTGTTGTTGGAGGGACCTGGTGGGAGATAATTGAATCATGGGAATGGTTCCCTCATACTGTTCTCGTGGTAGTGAATAAGTCTTACGAGATCTGAGGGTTTTATCAGGGGTTTCTGCTTTTGCATCTTTCTGATTCTCTCTTTGCTTGCTGACATCCATGTAATATGTGACTTTCTCCTCCTTACCTTCCACCATGATTGCGAGGCTTCCCCAGCCACGTGAAATTTTAAGTCCAACTAAACCTCTTTCTTTTGTAAATTGCCCAGTCTCAGGTATGTCTTTACCAGCAGCATGAAAAAGGACTAATAGAGTAAATTGGTGCCAGTAGAGTGGGGCGTTGCTGAAAAGATATACAAAAATGTGGAAGCAACTTTGGAACAGGGTAACAGGCAGAGGTTGGAACAGATTGGAGGGCTCAGAAGAATACAGAAAATGTGGGAAAGTTTGGAACTTCCTTGAGACTTATTGAATGGCTGTGACCAAAATGCTGATAGCGATATGGATAATAAAGTCCAGGCCAATGTGGCCTCAGATGGAAAAGAGGAACTTGGTGGGAACTGAAACAAAGGTGACTCTTGTTTCAGTAAAGGGACTGGTGGCATTTTGGCTCTTCCCTAGAGATTTGTGGAACCTTGAACTTGAGGGAGAACATTTAGGGTATCTAGCAGAAGAAATTTCTAAGCAGCAAAGCATTCAAGAAGTGACTTAGGTGCTGTTAAAAGCAGTCAGTTTTAACAGGGAGCACAAAAGTTTGAAAAATTTGCAGCCTGGCAATGTGATAGAAAAAAATCCCATTTTTAAGGAGAAATTCAAGCCATCTGCAGAAACTTGCACAAGTAATGAGGAGCCAAATGTTAATCCTCAAGATAGTGGAGAAAATGTCTCTAGGGTATATTAGAGGTCTTCATGGCAGCCCCTGCCATCACAAGCCCAGAGTCCTAGGAGGATAAAGTGGTTTTGTGGGCCGGGCCGGGGGTCCTCGAGCTGTGTGCAGCCTAGGGACTTGGTACCCTGCATCCCAGCTGCTCCAGCCATGGCTGTAAAGGGCCAATGTAGAGCTCAGGCCCTGGCTTCAGATGGTACAAGCCACAAGCCTTGGGAGCTTCCACATGGTGTTGAGCCTGCTGGTGCACAGAAGTCAAGATGTGGTTTGGGAACCTCCACCTAGATTTCAGAAGCTATATGGAAATGCCTGGATCCCCAGGCAGAAGTTTGCTGTAGGGGCAGGTCTCTCATGGAAAACCACTGCTAAGGCAGAGTGGAAGGGAAATGTAGGGTCAGAGGCCCCACACAGAGTCCCTACTGGGGCAGCACCTAGTTGAGCTGTGAGAACAAGGCCATCGTCCTCCAGACCCCAAAATGTTAGATTCACTAACAGCTTGCACCATACACCTGGAAAAACTGCAGACACTCAATGCCAGCCCACGAAAGTAGCCAGGAGGGAGGCTGTACCCTGTAAAGTCGCAGGGGTGGAGCGGCCCAAGACCATGGGAACCCATCTGTTTATTAGCGTGGCCTGAATGTGAGACATGGAGTCAAATGAGATCATTTCTGAGCTTTAAGATTTGACTGCCTTACTGGATTTGGGACTTGCATGAGCCCTGTAGCTTCCTTTTTTTGGCCAATTTCTCCCGTTTGGAACGGTTGTATTTACTCAATGTCTTTACCTCCATTGTATCTAGGAAATAACTAGCTTGCTTTCGATTTTCTAGAATTATAGGCAGAAGGGACTTGACTTGTCTCAGAGCAGTCTTTGGACTATGGACTTTTGAGTTAATGCTGAAATGAGTTAAGACTTTGAGGGACTCTTGGCAAGGCATGATTGGTTTTGGAATGTGAGGATATGAGATTTCGCAGGGGCAGGGTCAGAATGATATGGTTTGGCTCTGTGTCCCCACCTAATTCTCATCTTCAATTGTACTCCCATAATTCCCAAGTGTTGTGGGGAGGACCTGGTGAAAGATAATCGAATCGTGGGAGCAGTTTCTCCCATACTGTTCTCATGGTAGTGAATAAGTTTCATAAGATCTGAGGCTTTATCATGGGTTTCCACTTTTGTGTCTTCCTTATTTTCTCTTTGCCTGCTGGCATCCATGTATGATGTGACTTGCTCCTCCTTGCCTTCCACCATGATTGTGAGGCTTCCCCAGCCATATGGAACTATAAGTCCAATTAAACCTCTTTCTTTTGTAAATTTCCCAGTCTCGGGTTTGTCTTTATCAGCAGCATGAAAGCAGACTAATATAAGGTCACAAAAGCATAAATTATTAAAGGAAAATACAAATAATTTAAGACAACTATAAAACTTTTTCAAAAAATACCATTTAAAAGGTAAAAGACAAGCATCAGACTGGGAGAAAATATTTGCAACACATATCTCACAAAGGGCCCGTATCCAAAATATATAAACAACGCTTACAATGGAATGACAGGAAGACAAATCAATAAAATATA